ACAAGTTGTTATTGTGAGTGTGTGTGTGTGTGGGGGGGGGGGTAACAATGAATACGTCACCGACAGGGGCGAAGCTGCGTGAGGGCCAAACTGGGCCTTGGCCCGCCCAACCTAGGAGAAAATAGGGAAGGAAGACAGAAAAATTGGGCCTAAGAATCAAGTGTTCAATGTAGTTTCTGTGTCTAGCCCGCCCAACAATCGGCCCATAGCTCCGCCACTGGTCACCGAGTAGTGTCTGAGAAAGTACCTAGGTGATAGATTAACACTTTTATATGTTTCAATTTTTCTAGAAAGAAATTGTATACTGTTTTTTGTGGTATACTACACCCACATACTTTTGATGCTACTCCTTGCATTCCAAAATGTTTGAACTTCTAGTTCTATTCTAAGACAAACTTCTGTAAGTTTGACCAAGTTTATAGAAAAAATATGTTAAGATTTACAATATAATATATACATAGTATGAAAATATATGTTATAAATAATCTAAGAAAACTATTTTGTGTTCTAGATGTCAATTTTTCCATAAACCTGATTAAACTTAAAGAAATTTTGGACACCGTTTACCCCTTCGCTCGTGATCCAAGGCATCCCGACAATAGGGTTTTCCCTGCATGGTGCATCCCGACCCTTGTTGGTGGGAGAGCTTCATTTTTAGGTGTTTTCCTTATTTTTGTAAGGGTTTCTGTCTTACTTAGGAAGACGAGACAACAACAACTCCCTAAAGATGAAATAAGGTTCCACTCGCCTAGCCCCTGTCTCGACAAGGCTTTGTCTCTGTTAGATGTCACGAGATCCGGTCGGCCTTTGTCTTTAGTGGAGCCGATTGGTTTCGGTATTCGTTCGCCTGTGATCGTGTGTTTAGAGGTTGGGGACTTCCAATCTAATCTGCGCTTCTCTTTATTGGTGACACTTGCTGTTTTGGTGTCCTGGTCCTTTGGGGCCTTAGCAGGACGACATTTTAGACTATCTATTACAATAAGGTTTTCTCGACTCCGATGAGGGGGCAATGACAGCGGTGCGCCTTTGTCTCGCTTCAGTGCTTGTAGTGGCTGCTAGGTGGTCTGTGAACCTGTATGTAGTGTTCTTCGTACTTGCCCTGACAGTTAATGAATAGATCAAAAGTTCTTCCGCCAAAAAACCCTAAAAAATGACTTAAGAAATATCTAGAACTTCAATTAATTTGAAACTAAGGGCGTGTTTTTCATTTACTTTTTTTTGTAACAAGGGAGTTTTTTTTCCAGTCCAATCAACCTCCTTCTTTTCTTTTCCCACAATAAAAAAAGCTTTCTTCCTTTCTGTTAGGACGTTGTTAATAGGGTTTTAGGGCGTTACTGTGTACTCCCTCTGTCCAATAATATAAGCGAAAACGCCCTCATATTATGGGACGGAGTGGGTAGGAGTTAATTTTCTTTTCTTTTGAGAAACCTCTCTGTAGGAGTTACCTGGGCCTTTACATTCGCAGAGAAAAAGGTTACCTGGGCCTTTTACAATGGAAGAAGCAGATTGATTCGTGAGATGGTGAAGGCCCAGCACGCACGAAGAACGAAACTAGGCTCCGGAGAGCCCAACTCGGCCCACACACGAAGCGATTAGCTCCCTAGGGTTTCACAAGATATATACATGCTCAGGCGCATCTCCCTCCCCTCCCCTCTACCTCCGCTTTCCTCTCGCGCCGCCGCAGCCGCCACCTCCTCCGCAGGCAGCCCACCGCGAAGCGAGGTCGAATAAGCCATGGCAGACGCCAAGGCCACGACGGCGGTCACCCTCCGCACCCGCAAGTTCATGACCAACCGCCTGCTCGCCCGCAAGCAGTTCGTGCTCGAGGTCATCCACCCCGGCCGCGCCAACGTCTCCAAGGTTGGAGATCTCGTCCCCTTCCTCTCGTCCCTTAGCTCTGTTGCATTTCGTCGGCGGTTCTGAAGCGTTCGTGTTCTTGTGCTCAGGCGGAGCTGAAGGAGAGGCTGGCCAAGGTGTACGAGGTGAAGGACCCCAACTGCATCTTCGTGTTCAAGTTCCGCACCCACTTCGGAGGCGGCAAGTCCTCCGGATTCGGTCTCATCTACGACAACCTCGAATCTGCCAAGAAGTTCGAGCCCAAGTACCGCCTCATCAGGGTATGGATCGTTTCGCCCTCGTCTGCTCTTCACATGTAGCTTCGTTGCGTTGTTTCGTCTAGATTTGCGCTTGTATTTGGTTCCGCTGTGCTCACCTATGGGTCAAGATGTAGTAATTTGTATTGATCTAACCATGGTTTCTTAGTGTCGGTGAATTTTGTGCTGCTCACTTAGGTTGCGTTCGCTTCGAGTTAGATAACTAGGTTTGCTTTCATTTTATGCTTCGGAAGTAACATCATTAGCTTAAGTCATTGCTTGCTAAGCTAGTCAGCACTAGAAAATTGGAATTTAGAACACTAATTCTTGGGACCAGCTAATTCAACCTTTTTGGTTGGTCGTTTCAATCCTAGTTTGCAGGGTTAATGCTCTGGTCAGGTTTAGTTTACCCAGCCTTTGTTCCAAAAAAGGGGTTTGGCCGACCCACCTCATACCTTGAATCAAATGTGCTATTTGTTTAGAATGGCACTATGATTGTGATATCATTGGTTGCAAAGTTGTTTGCATACTTTTTCTGAACCAAAGGTTTATATGGTAGATGTATTAACATGCCTATCAGTCATGTTGGTGAATTGAGAGATGAACTGAGACCATACCTACCTTGTTTAACCAAAGGTTTGTCTGTGGACATTGCTCTTTGTGGTTATCATGATGGGGCTGCAGATGAGCTTACTCTGTAACTGAACAAGTTAGTTGATTGCCTTGTTAGCATTTGGTCTTCTGTATTGTTAGTGCTAATCCCCAAATGTATTGATAGATAACACTTGTGTTTTAGATAGGTCAAGCAACCTTTATTAATATGAGGTGTTTGTATATGTATTTCCTTTTAAGCGTGGTACCTTTTTGTTTTGCTAATGTGTGCTAGGTGCTCCCATCTTCTGTGTCATTGTTACCCTAATTTATAGTCCAGTACTATTGGACTTTCAGTACAGCTTGTTATCATTCCTGTTTCTTTTTATTTGTTGTGCTTGTTATCCAGCTTACTCTCTGTTACTTTGCCCACTGCTTTCACAATTAGAGATTTTGCTTGGATAAACATGGTATAGAGTGGTTATTTTCATGCATGTTTTATGATTTGTTCAGTACACAAGCATGACATTGAACATGCATCTTTCCATAGTAGGTACAACATGGCACTGAATTGCATAGATTGGCTATTTCCATTTGAAATTGTATGGTTGCAATTCCTGTCATGTGTCTGGACTTGCTAATATCTTTGCATTTTTGCCAGAACGGCCTTGCTACCAAGGTAGAGAAGTCACGCAAGCAGATCAAGGAAAGGAAGAACAGGACAAAGAAGATCCGTGGTGTGAAGAAGGTCAGTTTTAACAAAGCAAATTTCACATTTAGGTCAAGTTGCGCTTGAATATGCTCTGTTTGTTGATCATGTGACTGAATCAATTTTCTCTGCGTCCTTTTGCAGACCAAGGCCGGAGATGCCAAGAAGAAATAAGAACATTTCTGTCTTCATCTATTCACTATCAGCCTTTGCTTGGTTTAGGACGGTATCCCTGTGGCAATGTTGCTGAGTGCTTAATTATGACTAGAAAAGACTTTGCCATTTGTGTCAATCTCCCGTTATGTTAAGAGGGCATTTTGTAGTATCTTATGCTAAGATTTTGAGGAACTTGGTCAGACTATCTCATATACACCTGCTGTCGTTGTTCTTGGTTTCGGCCATTAAGCAGTCAAAATGCATTGTGTGGTTTATTTACCCCTTGAATGTTTCTATGTTGAAGTGGATCACAAAAGAAAATCTGCTCTAGGACAGTTAACAACTACACCCTCTGTCCCATAATATAAGGGCGTTTTTGACACTAGTGTAGTGTAAAAAACGCTCTTATATTATTGGACGGAGGGAGTAACAACGTAATGATTTCGTACTAAGGATTTCAAGTTCCCGTTCTGGAGCAACTCTAGCAGATCTTGCCTTTTTTCCTAAGGCAGAATTACAATTACAAAAAATATCGAACATTGAGCTTAGCATGAATACCACGCCTGGGCAAGTCAAAAGACAGGTACTCTTATATTAGTTAAGCAGTGATCTAAATGCTCTTATATTAGTTAAGCAAGTGCGTATCCTAAGCTGAGAAACAATGCTCAATGCTCTTATTTCTTTAGCGGAGGGAGTACAAATTAAAAAGTAAAAATCCTATCCTGAGCTGAGAAACAATGCTGCGTCTTACTGTTGGACACCTCTGAAAACCACTAAGAGCATCTCCAACAGCTATATGGGCGGCGCTGAAAAATTAGTGCTTTTAGCGCGCGCTACCGCTCCGGGCACTTCAGCGGACGCTCAAAAACCGCCCGCGCGGCATATCTAATTTGCTCCCGCGCGCTAGACTCTCGAGTGCTCGCTCGCAACTCCACCTATCCATCCAGCTGCTGATGCCGCCATCGCCCGCGCCAGCCCATTTCTTCCGCCCACCGTTTCGGCGCTTCCCCGGTCTCTCCCTGCGCGGCTTTCTCCGTCACCCTCTAGTTAGCGCCGCCCGTTGCGCGCGACAGTCCTCCGACAAACAACGCCAGGCCGCCCACTGCCGCTCGACGCCCTGAAGGTGTTCGACAAAACGCCCGCAAGGTATGTATTGCTTTCAACTTCACATTTTTACATGAATTTGGTGCATGTTGTTTGTAGTTTTTTATAGCCTAGTTTTGAACATTGTAGATGAGTTTGTCATATGATTCTTCCGAAGAAGAATTTGATATGGAAGAGGAGGAGGAACTTGCAATGATCCTAGCTATGAATATCAATAAAAAAACCGAAGCACGGTGGTTCGGTTATGGGTCGGCAGAAAATTTGGAGGGATATGATCGATGCCCACAACAGATTAATGGGGCACTATTTTGTGGAGAATCACATATACCCCGAGTCGTACTTTCGTCGCCGGTTTAGGATGAGCACCGAGTTGTTTAGGCGCATTGCAGAGAAACTAGCGATCTATGATCGGTTTTTTCAGCAGAGGAGGAATGCCGCCGGAGAGCTCGGGCATAACACCTTTCAGAAGGTGACAGCCGCTTTGCGTATGTTGGCATACGGTATCCCCGCTGATCTAGTTGATGATCACTTGGCCATGGGTGAGAGCCAAGCCATCATGTGTGTCAAGCGCTTCGCAGTCGGAATTGTGCAAGTGTTTGGCCCGGAGTACTTGAGATCTCCCAATGCTGAAGACGCCGCAAGGCTATTGGAGATGAACAAAGCTCGCGGGTTCTCAGGTATGCTTGACTCAATAGATTGCATGCATTGGAGTTGGAAGAATTGTCCAAAGGCCGATTCCATGTACAATTCCATGGCCAAAAAAGGGTTCCACTATAATCCTTGAAGTGATGGCCGATAAGAGACTTGGATTTGGCATGCTTTTTTTGGAATGCCTGGATCTTTGAATAACATCAACGTTGTCAATCGGTCACCGCTGATGAATAAGATTGCAAATGGTGAACTGCCACCGGTGCAGTTTGTAGCTAATGGTCGTACATACAACTATGGTTACTATCTTGCGGATGGCATCTACCCAAAATGGCAAACATTTGTGAAGCCGTTGAAAAAATCGAAAGGTAAGAAAAATCTTGATTTCGACAATGCTCAGGCGGCGGCTAGAAAAGATGGGGAGAGAGCTTTTGGGATTTTGCAAGCCCAATTTGCTATTGTGAGAGGACCGGCTAGATTTTGGGATCAGAAGATGCTGTGGTATATAATGCACGCTTGTATGATCATGCACAACATGATCATCGAGAATGGGCGTGGCCAAGATGTAGACTACTCTCACTATGAGCTCTTGGGACATCCCGTGCGAGTGTGGCGGAGGGCTAAAGGATGGCCCGTTTTGTTGCCTCCTATCATGCCATTCGACATCCGACATCACATGATGATCTTCAAAAGGATCTCATTGAGGAGTGGTGGGCTTGGAATGGCCGCCAAAGAGCATCGTGATTTGTGCGTTTGATGTTGTATTGTTGAACTATTTGTTGTATTGATGAAAGATACTATTTGTTTGAGTTGTAATAATAAATTGAACTATTTATTGTGATTTATTTTGTTTGTGTTTGATCTTTTTGCTTGTGTTTGGAGCGCATACGTTGTTTGTGCCAGAGCCCGCGCGCCTGCTGGAGCTATGCGCGCGCGCTGCATTTTACCGCGGCTGCTGGAGCCAGCGCTGCGCGCCGACCAAATCAGACGATCGGCGTGCTGCAAATTGGTTTTTAGCGCGCCGTGCGTTGGACGCTTGTTGGAGATGCTCTAACTCGCTACAGTTCTAGCATACAATCTTGCATGTATATAAAAAACAAAAAAACAATCAGAACCACGACTAAATAACTAAGCTCCAAGGGTGGGGCAGCCAAGGAAAAGAGGGGAGAATATCTGGTACTCCCACCTCTAGGGTGCTCCGCCCTGTGAGCCTGCAATCTCTCCGCAGTGTCCAAACCTCTTGCCATGCTTGGAGTGTTGAAATGTGAGATGAGCCTAGAGCCCATATAACAATTTCAGATTTGATCTCTAAGGGCCCATGTAGGTGGCATGACAAGGTGGTGGGAAGTTTAGTCCCACCATGCTAGTGGAAGGAAAGTTGGAGTGGTTTATAAGGGTGGCTCTTCTACATGCTATTGGAGCTTGAGAAGAGAAGAGGCCCTCGCGCGCTCCTCCTCCGCCGCCTGCCTCGCCTCGCCTCGCCACGTCATGACGCACCGCGCCGCGGGTTGCGGGAATGAGCCGAGCTCTGCCAGTCACTAACGGAGAGGTTCTGACAGCAGGGCCACGATCTGAGACGTCGGATCGTGGGCTGTCACGGACTCGGACGTGGGTCAAGCCCACGTCTCTCCACGCGGCTGCGTCTATATAAGTGTGTTGTGTCCCCTAACCCTAGCCGCCACGAACAGATCACATCTTCTCACGCGCACGCCCATCGTCGTTCCTTTGCTGTTGTTGCCACCGGTGACTCCATCCCGTCCGCCGCGTACACGGTCGACAGGAGAGCAGGTCTCCGAAACCACGCCCTTCTGGTTCCTGTACGGGGTGAGGGGCGAATAGGTTTTTGGGCAGCGATTACGCGACTGCTCGCTTCCGATCGTCTACTTCCTCTACGTCCGCGTCGCCTTCATCATCACCATGTCCACCGACCCCGACCGTGCCGTCGCCGAGAAAGCCGAAGCCGACAAGAAGGCCACCGAGGACGTTGCTGCCACCAAAGCCGCGACCTCTGCATGGCCTACTGGAGGGTATAACTCGTTTATCCCGCTCCTGATTATTTTCATATTAGCAGTACTAGCAGTATGTGTAGATTTGTCTATTGTTTGCTTAGTACGTGCATGTTTAGATCAAAGTCAGTACGTCATCAACTTAGTCAATGCCATGCTAGTGATTTACTCGTAGATTAATTTAATCGAGAAATTGCCTATTTACTCAACAATCCAAAAACCTATTATGTGTAGGAATTTTTCGGCAAGTGGCTTTGCCGCAGCACTGAAACCGGATAAGTTTACCGGTACGTATTTTAAGCGTTGGCAGACAAAGACCACTTTATGGCTCACGGCTATGAACGTGTTCTGGGTCACCGGTGTGTCCACGGGAACGATTGCTCCTGAACAGGAGAAGGCATTCAGGGAGGCAACCACTGTGTTTCTCGGAGCAGTTCTTAGCATGATCGGAGATAAACTGGTCGACGCATATTTACATGTGCATGTCGCCAAGGACTTGTGGGAGGCGCTCGAATCTAAGTTCGGGGCCGCCGATGCAGGGAGCGAGATGTATATTATAGAGCAGTTCCACGATTACAAGATGGTTGAGAACCGTCCTGTACTGGAGCAGGCTCATGAGATAATATGCATTGTTAAGGAGCTTGAGCTTCTGAAGTGCGAGTTACCGGGCAAGTTTGTCGTGGGCTGCATAATCGCTAAGCTCCCCAATTCCTAGAGGAATTTTGCCACCACTCTGAAACAGTAGAGGCGTGAGTTCTCTGTGGAGGATGTCATTGGCCATTTGAGTGTTGAGCAGAATTCGAGGGAAAAGGACTCGCACGGAAAAGGGGCCAAAGGGACTTCTGTTGCCAACATGGTGAACCAGAGGAACTTCAACTCCCACAAGTTCAAGGGAAAGAACGGTGTCCAACAAAATACCGACTTCAAGAAGAAGGGTAAGAAGACCTTCAAGAAGAACAAGAAGGATGAGGGCTGCTTTACTTGTGGTTCGACTGAACATTGGGCCAACAAGTGCCCAAACAAGTTTAAGAAGTCAGGACAGGACTCCAAGTCTGTCAACATGATTGTGGACAACAATGAGAATGGTGCATCTAGGTACGGTAATTTATTTACTGTTTTTTCAGTGTTTCAGCCTACCGATTGGTGGGTGGATACAGGTGCAGGTGTTCATGTGTGTGCTGACATTTCATTGTTCTCTTCTTACCAGGTCACAGGCCACGGGTCCGTATTGATGGGGAATGGTGCGAGTGCTTCTGTTCA